AAAAACTTTCTTTAAAATAACTGAACATTTTCTCGCAAATCCGTGATTATATGTCAATAATATTGGATTGTTTTCCGAACGTACATCGATCAGTAAACGAAAAAAAACAGACAACGCGGTCGGTAGAATGCTACTCGAACAAAACTACAAGGAAGCGATACACTCACTGAACAGAATAAATTATTGATAGAAAGAAGGTGGAATGAAGTAAAGAACAAGACTGGAGTTAATCATAGTCACATGTATCTGTTCATCAAAAGATTCAAGGAGAACGTCAACGATCAGATGTGCATTCCGTGCAATTTCTTTTGCAGTTGCAGGTTATGATGCAGTTCAGGTCTTATATCGCACACCAGTTGAAGCAAACGAACAATCACCTGAAAGTTATTGTTTAACACCTGCGCGAATGAAACAACAAACGATACCTGTTGTTTGTTCTGTTGCACTCTGTGCTTCATCTCGTTGATCGTATCCTCAGTATCCTTCTTAATCTTCGACTCAATATCCTCTTTGGTGCCCAAATACTTCTGTTCGTATTCTTTGAACTGCCGCTCACGTTCCTCAAATAATCCGCTTTTATCTCCGCTCTATCACAACAACGATCACAATTATGATAATAACAATAATAATAAAAAATGTTCAACCTGTCTATATTTATCGATTTCAGACTGTGCCTCTTTTTTGGCTTGTTTCAGGCGTTGTGTTTTACGTTTACGTGCTTCATTGATCTTCTCAGCGGCACGTTTCTCGGCGGCGAGTAATTGCTGAATTCCTTGAGTTTGGGATGCCATCGCTAAACTCTTCATTTTTAACGTGATCACCAATGAACAATAAAATAAACATTCCGAACATAAATAATTAATGAACACTTCAATAGTCAAATGAATACTCCAAGTATAGACCGCAAAACAACGGTTCACGACTACTGTTCAATCAGCACACACGAACGTTAAGCATTTATCAAACTAAACGATAAACAAATAATAAAAATACTCATATGTAATAATCAACCAAGGCACAACACAATGAATAACTCCATTAGCCACCCCCAAACCCACCTCATATCCCAATTTCATTCACATTTATAATAAAATCACTTCAATGACACATCGTAAAATGAGCAAACGAAATTATTTCCAATGGACAAAACACCACTAAATTGACATTTCAATACATTATTATGAAAAATTCACTCGTCTATCGATAACACTCGCGTAAACAGTTGGTAACACGAAACTGACTGCATTATTATTATTACAACAATTATTATTATCAATAAATTTACACGACAACTCAAACGAATCGATCTGGTAAACAGATGCACACGCGACACTTAATTTCACATGGAATGTATGCTTTTCATTGAAATCTAATCGTTTATTATATACACAACGATCTGGTGTTATTAACAACTGTTTTATATTACTTGTCACTGCATTATTACTATTAATATTACTTGACGACGACTGCTTTTGCAACGGCAAACTTATCATTGACGACGACGAGGCGTTGTGATGCGACGATAATAAAAACTCAGATCCATAGTCGTTCTTAACCTTCTCGTTAGTGTTATTACTAGTGTCAGATATGTATCGTATCTGAATGGTCGCATCTCGATGATGAATATCGTTATTCAACACACTAATTCGCAGCGATATCGTACAAAACCTTCAATTTAGCAGTCAGTCCATCCATCATCCAGTTGAACTCCAATCAAATAAAGCACACCAACCTTCTAACACTAAAGTCGTGCGATATTATCGGAGGATGCACACTCACGTTACACACAAATGCTCGGTACACCTCGTCATTGTGCGTATCG